ATGGTATCATATTGAATCTTTCAAATACTAATCTTATGTACATTTGTTGGCTGATGAATATGCCATGCCGAGTTTGAGTAACCTCCACTCCAAATTTATCAAGGTCGGCCATCTCAAACTCATATTGCATAGACTGTTAGAAATCTTCAATTATAACTGACATGTTGTTATATGACTCAATCTTGTTGTACCAATCGCTAGGTGCTTGTTTTAAACATATGATGTTTTTTGAAGATTGTACAATTTGTTTTCTTCGCCCATAACCACAAATTCTTGTTGCTGAATGTAACACCCCCGATATTTTGATTTAGGTTCGACCATAACAAATGAATGGTTGGATTTACGGTTACGTACGAAGGGTTACAACTATTATTATAACAACAACAAAAAAAATATTAATCCGAAGGAGAGGGCCGAGCGCCCTTATCCCATCCAATTCTCCCTCCCACCCAATTAACTCCCTCCCATCCAATTAACCCCCCCCCCCCCACACACACACACACCTCAACCCTTTCACTCATTTTCCTTTTTCCTTTAGCATCGCTGCAGCACCTCGAAACCCCAAACCCGCTTCCGCACTCATCCCCAATCCCCACGACCACGACAAACCCTTTTCCCCATCGCGAGAGACAGAAGCAAGTAGCGGAAAGAAAAGGAACCATGTCCCCTGTTCCTTGTCCCTCGCACGCCAGTTCCCACGAACTAGACACACGTTCAGGTGTTTTGCGTTTCTCTGACATCACAGGGGTTTGAACATCGATCGACGAGGAGATCAACGTCCCGAGCCATCCGATCTAGTACTAGGTTCGTTCTAAAGGTAAGAGAACTCGATCCCTTCTAGTTAGATCGGTCATTTTAGTGATTTTTCGTGAGGTTGCAATTCTGGATTTTAACGACGAGTTTTACAGGTTGTTAGTTACAGTTTTGATTGGTCACTAAGGTTGCAGAAAATTTCCAGAAATGTTATTTAAGTTCTAAAAATGATTTTGGGCATCTTCAGAAGTGTATTTTAGGTTTTACAATTCTCAAAATTGAAAGAGGTCTAGTAGATGCCTGTGATGTAATTTGGATATTTTTTAAGATGAATTACTAATTTTAGAAATTAGTCTAATGTTGATTTTAACTAAATAAAATTCATGTCGAGGTGTTTTTAAGGAGGTTCAAGCTAGGTGAAAAAATCGTCCAAGATGAAATTAAGTAGGAAAAAGGATAGGTTTTGAAGGGATTATTTCTAGAGAATTTTTAAAGGGGGTTAAGGGATCTTTAGAATGAGGTTCGAGGATGAGACTTTGAGGAGAGGGTGTTCTGGTAGGTAAAAAGGGGGTTTTAAATCGAGAAAGGTCGTTTAAGAAAATAAATTTCTTATTAATAGGTTTCTCGAGATAATTCGGCTAAGGAGGGATTTCTTCAAGTAAGAAATTGATGAGCATCTTTTAGAGGTGAGTGTAAAGGGGATAAAATCTTCGTCGAGGTTTTTTAGTTTATGCTTTTAGTTTCAAGTTATGTTAGTTATTTTTGAGTTATGTGCGATTAAAGTTTGAGGTACCCCACCGCCTTCTGAAGGTGGAGGCACGCATCGTGCTATGTATGTGAATGTATGTTTGTGATGTATGGATGATGGTAAGATGAACCCCTGGGCGGTTGGGCCACTACTGGGCGCGGTAGATGGTCAGATCACTACTGGACGGTGATACGTAATGCATCAGTTGATCGAGGATTTGGGTCACTATTGGACAGTGATATGTAAGGCAGTAGTTGACCGGACATGGGTTGGACGACGAGATGTAACGCAACGCCCTTTCCAAGTTTGGGTATGCAACCGAATGGTGAGACGTAACACGGTTGGCATACCAAGGTAGGGACACTGGACGGCGAAAATGTAATGCGGTGGTCCCTCGTATTGATGTTTATGAGTTAAGGATATAAATAGAGAACTTCTATGAGTTAAGGATAGAAGTAGAGAACTTTTAGGAGTTAAGGATAGAAGTCGAGAACTTATATGAGCTATGTTGGAATAAAATAGTTAGGATGGGAGCGAGAACGACTTTCATCTAAGAGGAGCAATTCTATTAATGTGTTAGTAAGGAAATGCTTAGGGTAAAGACCTTAAAAAGTAACGACAAGATTGACCCCTTCTCATTCACCAGGTGTAGAGAGGGGAGGACGTATTCATCACGAGAAGGACAGTCGCGCCAGACTTGGAGATGTCGCAAGGATTGGGGTAACAAGATGGAACAATTTATTATTCTTGTCTTCTTTTCTTGTCTCTCTGAGTATAGTGGAATTCAAGGATTGTGTTTATCGGATATGAATTGAGGTCGGCCAAGTGTTTAGGGCCTTTCCTTTGAGATTTATAAAAGTATTGGTTATTGTTTTGCCTTTTCTACGTGGTTTGGGTTGCTCCGGAGTAACTGGTTTTCGGTTGAGTTATGGTTTTGGTTTCAAAAGGATCGAGTTGTTTCACTCAATATAGGCTTATTTTAGTAAGCTCTCCATGCAAAAAAAAACACTCTTAACATCTTACCGAAACATTATGAAACCTCGGTGAGCAGCTAGAGCTAAGAGAGTTTTGATGGTGTCTCACCTGACCACGAGTGAAAAAAACATCACTATAATATAGTACATACTCCATGTGTGATGGAAATTGTCCAAGTTTAGAACCTAGCCATTACTTGGAGGTAATCCAAGTAAATCTTTAGGTGAGCCATCACCCTATTCTTTTCCATTTTGACTTGTAGAAGCTTGTCTAGCTGTAGAACCCCAAAGCTTGCAGGTGTGTGAGGATTTACGAGTTCTGTAAAGGTTTGGTTTTTCTGCTGGGGCTTCTATTGTGTTTGGGTCACTAGACTCTTCCTCCTCTTCCAAATCATACAAGGAGTCTTTACTTCCTTAGTTCTTTCACATATCACCTTTTCAATCCATGTTGGGTTTCTAACTATCATGTCCAACATGTTGCCAATGCTTTCAAGAATTTCTTCATCAAAGTAGGTCATTTGGACTCGGTAGATTCTAACCCAGACCATTGTCTTGTTGATGACATCATAGTCTGGACTGAAATCCAAACTCCATGGTTTTGAGGCGATATATTGATAATCCACTATCCATGGTCTTCCACATAGCGCCATGTTGTAATCCAGTTGAGAATCGATCTCATGGTAGTATCAGTTTCTGATATTTCCTATCTTCAGGGAGCCGATTTTTGCCACATTTTGTGTACTTGCCGGTGGATAAAAGCAAATGATAAGTTTTTATCCAGTAATCTGAATGCAATGGCATTGTTCCATCGATGGCGGACCCTCATATCTATACTTTTCTTTATGTGAATGGTTGGGCAGAGCGGTCATCCTCACCATATGATTCATCCGACATCATCTCTTAGCCGTCTGGGATCACTAGAGGAGCAATTTTCCAAGGACTCAGTCCTTGTCGAAAACTTTTCTCTATCGTTGGGTTTGATTTCCCATTGTAGTCATTTTCTTCTATGGACCTTCCTTTTCTTCTGAGTTCATTTCGAAATCTTTATCTTCCGTCCAGGTTGTTACCATGCTCCATACCAATGTTCCCAGCTGAAAAACTTATGAGAGAGGTCAGAGCATTTTCTCTCTCTTAGTTTCCCAAATTTTCAACTTTCTAAATTGTATTTCTATAGTTAGTACACTTGCTACATGCTCCTTGCTTTTAATTCTTTTGAAAACCCAAGAAAATGGTATTCTCACTCTTGTCATCAAGTTTCTTCCTCTGACTGTCATGAAAATGTAGATAAGCTACACAAACCAAATATCTTAAAATGTTCTACTATGAGAAGTTTTCCTATCCAAAGTTCATGCGCAATCTTGCCATTATTTGCTTAAGTGGGGCTCTTGTTTAAAATATGACAAGTGCACTTGACACCTTCTAGCCAGAAGTAAGCAGGAAATATTATCCTTCTGAGAACATCTAATCATGTTCATGATACTTATTTTTTCCTTTCAGAAATTTCATTTTCCTTTAGAGTGAGAGTAGTTGTGAGCTACCTTTTGATTCCAGCTTCCTCACATACATGTTTGAATTCATTCCACACGAACTTCCCACCTCTATTAGTTCTTAGACAAGAATTAGTTAATGGATTGGAACATTAGGGATTGGTACTAAACCTACGCCATTAGCTTGGGATTTGACAATGATAATGGAGGAAAGAATTAAGTCAACAACGATAGGCATTTTTATATAAATTTTCTTACTATTGTTATATTTTTTTCTCAGGGGTATTTAGATAGCAAAATATGCTATTTTCTCATGATTTGACTAACTTAGTCATTTTAACTTAGTCAAATCATGATTTGAACGACCTCAACAATTTTTGAATGGGAAGTCTAACAAAAAAACATGCTTGAGATTTTTTCATTGAAGAAATGCAATCTTGACGTTAAATAGAGAGTCGCACTTTATAAAAGTGTATAGTAGACGGGCAAAATATGCTATTAACCTTACTAAGTACTAACAATTAAAGTAAGGTTCATTTACATCTAAAATACAATAGTGATATAGATCGGGGACAAAACAAACACAAAAGATGACACAAATGGGACATTTCATCTCCAAGATCTTCAAACTCCATGGGATTCTAAACATCACAACACACATAATCGAGCATTAAGTTTCATATGCAAGAGAGAATACATGTAATCAAAAGAGTTACTAACGGACTCGAAAATGTGAATGTAGATCTAAAATTTGAAGGAAATTACTAATTCCTTCGACCTTATTCTACCGTCTTTCACTCTATGAAGACTTAATTGTCAAACAAAATGGAAAGAAATTATATTAGTAATAACTAATAACAGTCTTCCTGGGAACTGAGTTCATATTTCTGGTCTTATTGTAACGTCCTTTAAGCAACTTAATTTGAAAAGTAACTTTTCTTTTTCAAAAATACAACTAAGAATTTAGTTTCTGAATTGTTGTATGCACAATTTTGGTGTCACACTCTACCCATCCAAACATTATAATAACACGTTTAACCCCTATTGACATTTGACAATAACCCAATTGCATTTACAAGAATCGTTGTTCCTATTCTGAAAAGATCAATTATTAGTATTTATTTCCCCATTATTTTTCAGGGAAGAGGGTATCAAGGTGTCAATACCCAGATTGAAAGTGTTTTTTGTAACGAGGAAAATAAGATTAATATTTACTTAAATTCTGTTTTGGTTGTAAAATAAAAACAGTTTTTTTTTTTTATTCTGCTCTCTGCACTGTTTTCCGTACCCAAGGCGTGGCATCCTATCCTACACACTCCGCGCACGATATAATCCATCCTGCGCACCGCCACTTCCGCCTCCGCTTCCACCACCACCATTCCGCCGGTGCGTGGAGGCTTCCACCGCCACCACTACTCCGCAATGGCGCGAAAATCCTCCTTCGTCAAGCAAGCCATGGCCTGCTCCGCCTGCCTCGTCCTCGTCCTCTACGCCGCCTACTTCACCACTTTCCTACGGCCCGCGAGCTCTCCTCCTCCTCCTCTCGACATCCGCGACGGCGTCGTCGTCGGGTCCACCATAACGCTCAGCGCGAACAGAATCAAGGTTTTCATGTACAATCTCCCCAGGCAGTTCACCGGCGGCATCATCGAGGAATTCGCCAGGGCTCGCGGCTCCACTGATGTGTCCAAATCGTGGTACCCTGGCCACCAGCACATGGGGGAATGGCACCTGTTCGCGGATCTGAATCGCACTGACGAGGATCGGGTCGGGTCGCCCGTGGTCCGGGTCGCCGACCCGGACGAGGCCGAGCTGTTCTACGTCCCGTTTTTCTCTTCCCTGAGCTTGCTCGTGAACGTAAATCGCCGCCTCGCCGTGGCGGATGATCAGGTGTACAGCGACGATAAGATGCAGGACGAGCTGGTGCAGTGGCTGGAGCAGCAGGAGTACTGGCGGCGGAACAACGGGAGGGATCACGTCATCGCCGCCGGAGATCCCAACGCGCTCAACCGAGTGATGGACCGGGTCAAGAACTCGGTGCTCTTGCTGTCCGATTTCGGCCGCGTGAGGCCCGATCAAGGATCGCTTATCAAGGACGTGATTGTACCCTATGCTCACCGGATCAACCCTTATAAAGGCGAAATCGGAGTGAAGAAGAGGAACACTCTGCTCTTGTTCATGGGCAATCGATACCGGAAAGATGTAATAAATAAAGCTTTCTTCCCCCCCGTCTCTGCTTGCTTGATTGATTGAACAAGCTTTCTCTCATTCCCACGGCCACGGGGTTTTCTTTTATTCTTCTTCTTCTTGTTTCAGGGAGGCAGAATCAGGGACTTGCTATTCCGATTGCTGGAAGGTGACAAGGATGTGATCATAAAAGAAGGGACGCAGTCGAGGGAGGATCGCCGCGCGGCCAACCGCGCAATGCACACTTCAAAGTTCTGTTTGAATCCGGCAGGGGATACTCCGTCGGCTTGCAGACTGTTCGATGCAATCGTTAGCTTGTGTGTCCCGGTGATCCTAAGTGACAGCATCGAGTTACCTTTCGAAGATGTGATCGACTATAGAAAGATTGCAATCTTCGTGCGCACCAAAGATTCTCTTCAACCTGGCTACTTGACTAATTTGCTGAGAGGAGTGAGCACAGAGAGAATTCTGGAGTTCCAGAAAGAGCTGAAACAGGTATATCTTACTACATTGCTTATGACGAGCCTCAGACGCTCGTCTTCCTCCGATCCATCGCGTATGAAACTGTTATGTTTTGCTTGTTAATCTGTCTTGAGCCTGTGCCATGAACCAAGTATTGTTAATGCAGAGGAGTTTAATAGCAGATAGCCATATACTGCTACTGATCATAACATATAACAGATGAATGTTCGTAGTTTTGGATTGGGAGGGAAGAGTTCATTGTTTGACTGCTTGACTTGTGTGGGATGCACTCACTCACTCACTCTTGGTCTTTTTTCTTCCAGACTTTGCGAAACTGATTGCAGATCATTGTAGTTCTATCAGTTGTTTCTTTGTGATTTGATACCAATCGCGTATAGATGAGTTTAGCATTATTCAACTGTGATCAACTACTGATTTCAGGTGAGCCACTATTTCGAGTACAAGGAACCAAACGGAGCAGTGAATGAGATATGGCGTCAAGTGTCGCAGAAGCTACCACTAATAAAGCTGATGATAAATCGTGATAAAAGGCTCATTAAAAGGGACTTGACTGAGCCAGACTGTTCTTGCCTATGTACAAGCCAGACTGACGGCGTAGCCTCGGTATGATGATTAGGATTTTTCTGTGTGCGCTAGAGCTAGTGCTATACGACGGTCTACGGGAGACTCTTCTAGGCACATCCTGAATCGGAATCCTGGAAATCAAAAGATGAATGGACGATAACCTGCTGCTGACTGAGTTTAATTTGTGCCCTATACTTTCGGGTCTGCCTGCTCCTTCAATCAGGGAAAGGTTACCGGTGATATGATTTTGGTGACTCACTTTTGAAGGCAAGCATAGTTGTATACTTGTATATTTATTTCTCCCCACTATTTACCATGTATACTCACAGAGAAGATGTGATTCATTGATTTTGTACATCTAGGCAAATAATAAGTTGATCATGATGTTATAATGAAAGAGGTTTGCTCACCAAATTACGTTTAGCTGTTTTACTTCGCTACTTTAAGTAACCCTTCTCTTCTACTTTTCCTTTACGGGTAAATCGCGTCTAATGTGCAAAGGACAGAGACTTCAGCCTTTTCAACTTGTATCGACCGTAGAGAGTTCCGACTCTCCCACTTTTTGTAGTTCAAAATAGTTTATCTTAACAACGCAATCTGAACTTCACTGACACAGTGAAACCCTGAAGTCGAGGACAAGATCATTTTGTGGATTCATCTGTTCGATTGGTCATGTTCTTTAGTCATGCAACTAACGCAAACAGTAGAAAAGGGCTAAAATGAGGGGCGGAATCTGCTTTGATGACCATGAGACCTGCTAAAGCTCTCGACCTACACAGGTTCCAAGTAAGTTACTTACAAGAGAAGCTCCAGCTGGGCGGTAGTAGAAGTTGCAGCAGAGACGCAACAGCGGAGAGGAATTCGCTCGACTCAACCAGGAGGCCACTTCATCTGTCTTCCTCCCAAGACATGCAGGTGGAGATGATAAACAGATTGACCTGGATCGGACCGTGGCATTGGAAATGATGAATTAAGGGGCAGTCACTCCAGATCAAAAGATATCAGATTGTTACTTACAGGCAGTGGGGCCACTGTTGATAACCACCCTAAACCCATCAACAACCCCTTCCTTCTCTGCAACTATTTTGGCGGCATACAGAAGTTGGCCTAGGATTTCTCCATGCCTGGCTTCCGCCTGACAAGGAACAATGTATAGACAGTAAGGTGTCAGGAGAACTATTATAAGTTGGATAGATAGAATAGGCTGTCAACTGTTTGCACGGATTTGATTGCAGAAATGTAAGCATATGTAAAGCAGAGAGTTTTAGCATCTGAAGGAAGAGTTGAGGGGATAAATTCTGGAAACGCTTAAAAGATAGAGTTCTAGGAGAAGAAAAGGCATAGTGAAGTCAAATAACGATTTGGCAAATAAGATGCGTATATCAGCCAGAAAGTGACTTCCTTCACCACGTTACTGGAGACATGTAACCTCCAGGTTCTCTTTTAAGCATGCACATGATTCCAATCAATGAAGAGGAGAAAGTGCTGCAGGGCCACAACCATATAAAAGCGACTTATGCGCAAGTGTTGTGCTTTTAGGGTGCATAATGAATAATGGATGAAAGCTTACTTTGCCAAGCTCTGTCAACCCATCCCTGATCTTTGGAATGATTACGACATGAACAGGAGCTTGAGGACTGATGTCCCGGAAAGCCAGGACCTTTTCGTCTTCATAAACGATGGACGAAGGGATTTCCTTGGCTATGATCTTGTCAAAACTGAAAAAGGAAGAAACAATCAACATATGTAGATGAGGAACTAAGATCATCTCTCAAACATGACCAAAAAAGTGCAAACCAAGGGAACAGGCCAAGTAAAGACTATTGACACCCAGTTGGATATGGTTTCTGCAGTAGTTAAAGAATATGGAGAGTACATACATGGTGGGAGCTCCTTCATCGAGAGTGGCAGCAGCTGCTTTTGCGGCAGCCTCTTCATCATTGACGGCATTAGTAGCAAAGCGCAATCTACACAGATTTGAATCAATGAAACAACATCAGGAAAAACCAGTGCCAAAAGAAGACCACGACTCAGACGAATGAAGGAGGAATGGTAAAAACCATAATCTCTTCCTATTTTACAGTCGCATCACCAAACCATAATCTCTTCCTATTTTACAGAACAAATGAAACGAAGGTGTAGTGACGGAGACCTGATAATAATCTGTTTAGAAATTGACCATTAACATTAATCAATCGCCAAAAGAAGATAGACGTGACGTGACGTGACCTGACCATGGATTTCCATCTATGTTCTTAATGCTCAGAAGAAACCCTAAGCCCGATCAAGCATTTTCCAATTGTGAGGGGATACCTGCGTGAGCGAGAGTGAGAAGAAGGAACCGGGAACCTAACGCGCTTGGAATGGAAACTGAAAGCAGAGGCTGGCCGGGGGAAGACTTTGGCGGTTGAAAATGGCCTCACAACTAGCGCACAGTTCCTGTTTCAAACAATGAGAATCGCTGTAAACCGCCAGAAAAAGTGTAGGAAGACGACGGCGGAAGGCGGAGCAGTACCTGAGAAGAGTGAAGGAGGAAGAGCCGATTGCGGCAGCCATGGCCGTCTCTCTCTGTTCGTTTAGCACTTGAAAGCTATCCTTCCTTCTACCAAAATAAAAACAAAAAAAAAAACTATCCTTCCTTTACTATTCCAGAGAGTAATCCGTCGTCGTTTTAGTTCTCCCTGCGATCGCGCTCCCCCGTGGACGGCTGTGAACTGATGGAGACTAAAATGAATTCTAATTTCTAAAACATTCAGCCTGATTCTTATCCGCTTATTTATAGAGAGAGACAGACAGTCCAGACAGACAGACAGACAGACAGACTGAAAGAAGAGCGAGAAAACGGAGAAGAAATGGCGAGCTTCATCCTGCGAGTGCCAACTGCTAACCTCAGAGGCTTCTCTGTGTCAGCAGCGGCTTCATCGTCTAATGGTAATTGAGTCTCTTCTTCTCAATTCGGTTGTGATGGTTGTATTTGATTTGAATTTTGTTACTTTTTTTTGTTTTGTTTTGTTTTTGTTATTGTTTGAAGGGGCTGTTCCTGGGACTGGGACTGGGAGCACGCAGAAGGCAGGGCCAATGATAGTGGAGTTACCTCTGGATCAGATTAAGCGGCCATTGATGCGAACCAGAGCTAATGATCCAAACAAGGTGCAGGAACTCATGCAGAGCATCCAGCAAATCGGCCTCCAAGTCCCTGTTAAGTCCCCTATGAATATGATCCTTCTTAAGTTCTTGCTTACCGTTATGTGCAGTAGACCAGTACAATACTAGAAAAGGATTTCAGAATTCCAGTAATCAGGTTCATCACAAGTATTCATTTTTGTTCATTCTGTCTGTATTTGTTGCAGATTGATGTTCTTGAGGTAGATGGTGTTTACTACGGTATGTGTAGCAGCATGGAAAACCTACCTCCATATCCCTGTGATTGTTTAACCTCAATCCTTTACGCCTCTCGTTGTAGGGTTCTCCGGGTGCCATCGTTACGAAGCTCACCAGCGTCTTGGCCTCCCTACAATACGCTGCAAAGTCCGACGAGGCACCAAAGAAACTCTCAGGTTCCCTTCTCCCTCTCATTGCATCATCATCCTCAGTTCTGTTTGCTGTGTTGACTATAGGAATTCTATCTGTTCACCAAATGGAGTGATTTCCCTCTTCCCACTTGCAGGCATCACCTCCGCTAGAAGGGTTTTACGCCGACTAGTTCACTATCCCTTTTACACTGTATAGACTATACACTAGTTTTGCTATCTCAAGACCCACCCTGTAAGGCTGTAACCTTGTAAACTCGCCGAGTTCTCACCTGTCAAATAACGCAGCTTTGGGTTCTTCATCTCCAATTATAGGTGTGACAGACTCATGTCTGGAAAACAAGCTGAAGTTCAACCGTGTAACATGGGTTCCGGTAAATACAGGATGCATATACTACACAACTATCATCAAAATGAGAAAAAGAAAAGCTCGTACTTCAAAATATACTACTGCGACCACCTCCTTTGCTCTATTACTTGTGCAACAAAGGACCAGACCTTGACACTGCAAACCTCGGCAGTGGGCTTGGCCCCGTGCTTGACGATCCTTCCGTGTGTTTTGCTTTCCTGCTCGAGCTGTAATCCAACGGGCCAGACCGCCTAACATTCCTGGATTTGTTGTCGTCGCTGTTTCGGCTTCTCACGCTCCCACCACCATTAGTATCATAAGGATGCTCCTGGCTATATGAGCCCCTGAAGTAGCTTGAAGAAGAATCGCTCACCCCATACTGAGGCGTTGAGTCCCCACGAAGCTGCCGGATACCAGGAGAAGCGTGTCCCAAGGACACAGCGGGGGACTGGCGAGGAGATGCCGTGTTGACCATAGCCAGTGGCATAGATGGAGAGCTAGAGTAGTACTGACTGTAGATTGACCGCAGAATTGCATACGGTACATAGGCTTCAAGCGAGCTCCTTGGAAGGTATGGAGATATCTCGCAAAGTTGGTCCAAGAAAATAAGCTTTGCCACAACATGGGACCTGTTTGCACAAAGAAACAGGGAAGTAAGTGGACGCGGATACACCGATCATCAAGTTTGGTATGTACAAAATGCAGTGAACTTTTACTTGTTGACATCGCTGCATGAATCTAGCACAATTCCTGCTGCAAATTTGACAAAAAGCTGCATTGCGGACTTAATACTTGCTTCGGCCGACAAATTGCTGTGTATTTCAGGATCCAAAGCCTCAGATGCATGGCCATTACTTGATACAGACCGTCTTTGTTGATGCTCACGTTCCAATCTCACATATTCACTCCCAGCAATTACAGCGCTTATACACCTGTCGACAAGAGAAAATGCCTAATCAATTAGTTTGCGTAAACCTACCTGATAAGAATTAAAATGTTTATTACTGGAAACAGGAAAGCTAACCTTGCCAAGCAATGGATATTATTGTTGAAGCCTCCTGTGTCGACATTAAAGCCAGTAGTGTACCAAATGTTTGATGTCATGAAGGTGGCAAATAAGTAAGGCAACAAGGTCCATGAAGCATCACTGGCACCTCCAACTTCTTCCAAAATCGATCTTACCCATTCAGAGTCATGATCTCCAACTATACCGACATTATTAGCCACCCCCCGAATCCTCCTGATTTCTTTCTTCTCTGGTATTTCTTCAGGTATGTGCTTAACTACTCCTGTAATTAGCGAGTGTATCAGCGGTGCGCCTTCTTTAAGCACAAGTCCCCCAGCTTCAGCTAGAAGCTCATCAAACGCAAGTGCTTGCCCTGCTTCAATGCAGAATCCAATTACAGTGTCCAAATCCAAAATCTGCTTCGAACATGCCTCTCTTTCTATCCGGTCACCAGAATGCATGCTTCCAGCAACAGACTCCAGCAGCTCACGATTCGACCTCAATGAAGTGTCAATGCAGTTCAAGAGGGCCGATGTGTGCTCCTTCATCAGTCTATCGAGTCTATCAATCCCATAGCCCCCAAAGATATGTACAAAGGCCTGCAACTCCCTGAGATCGGTAACCGATTCAGCAAAATATCCACCAACCGGCCTTGTGCTTCTGAAGCATTCGTGCTTGGGTGTGAAGAGGATTCCAGCACCTGATACATCTTTGATAATGTTTTCTATGTACCAATTGCACACAACTTCAGTAGCAGATCCAGTAAGCTGCTCATCCTCAGCAGGTTTCTCAAATAGATGCAAGGAAGAAACAGGTCCACAGAAAGCCTCTGTCAGGAGAGCTTCTCTCATGCCATGTGTCAGGTCCATGCTAATGTGGTGCTCAGCTAGATGGATAATGCTCATGTGTCTACGAATCAGTGATTCTAGCACAGAGGGCCGCTGAAGATCGTTGTCTGTTTTCAGTACTGTAAGCAATCTTCTCCTGAAGTTTCCAAGGATGCACTCTCTCATGTACTGCAGAAAAGACCAAGATGTCACAACTAAATTTGGAGAGTGGAAGGTACATAGAAGGTGTGTTTCGTGTGGCTATAAAATAAGTAATTGTTTTTTTTTAAGTTGACTTACAGTTAAATCAAACACACTTCATCAATCCAACTTTTTAGAAAGATTTATTAACCCTAAATTCCACAAATTATTATTTCAAACTAAAAAGCCACATCATTGATAAAATTTTATTTATAACTTTGCCGTTTAAACTAAAAATTTACTTCTAAAATTATCTCATAATAATAGGATGGCTTCTACGGTGCACTCACAAAAATGAGGGCATACCATGCACCCATTTCTAAAACTAACATTAAGACATCGAATTTTGAATTGGAAGCATTAATATAATATGATGATATAAAATAGGATCACAACTAATCAATGCGTTATTCTAAACTCTAGACCTTCAATTCTAAAACCTAACCCTAAATCTCTAAACCCTAAATTCTTTAAATCAAAGTAAATTTTGAAGAATTTTTGTACGAATTCATATGTTTTCTTGTCTATCCTAGTTCATATCAAAAGTGACGATTGACATCGTTTTCACATTAATCGTCTAATCATAATGACTATTATGTGGGGCTATGCACCCAAAAAAGTTGTGCACCGAAGACAACCGTCATAATAATCATTTTTAAAACATACATCTTTATTTATTATTTTATTAGTAACCAAACTATCTAATCCCTTATCAATTACTATTTCATCGCTAAATAATATCTCATATCCCATCACTCAACTTCAAAAACGCGTTTATCTGCGCTTCTAGAACAATTTGGGGTGGGGGTGGGGGTTGGGGGGAGACACTTTTTAGCATATTTCGAAACAAACACACCCATAGTTTAGTTATTATTAGGCAGAAGTTTTCCAGGGGAGAGCCTGCCTGCAATATTCAACCATATTGTTGAGCTTGGATAAATGAGAGGGTTCAAATGTATGAAAGTGTTGTACTAGAATCAGAGGATGAACACAGCACACGAAGTCAAATAACGACAGGGGACAATATATAAGCAACAGAAGCTCAGCATTCTTACCTCTCTGAGAACAAAAACATGATTTAGAACACAGATAGGCTCCATATCATTCAGAACTGAGCACAAGTTGGTTAGCCTTTGCATTGCAGCTTCTAACCTGCCATATTGAACAATGGACGATTATTACTACGGTTATAGACTCTAAACAAAACCACCTAGTTTGAGTACTGCTTACATCTTTACAGAACCATTATTCTCAGGATAGCTCTCATGGCCAGGCAAAGGAAAGCCAACAGTGCCCTTGGGTGACTTCGATGAAGGAATGGAGACTCTTGATGCATTATTCAAATAGAGAGCTGCCTGCTCTGGAAGGAGCTGAAATCACAAGGCAAGTTAGTTAAAGGATATCCAAGGAGAAATTCGTGTGTGCAAATAAAACATTAGAGCTAGGTAAAAAGTAAACAAAAAGAGCAAAGTAAAAGATCACCTGAGCCTCCAAGGCACCGAATCCTCCTTCCGAGTCAAGAATATTGATTAATCCCTCCAATCCCCCCATTATAGATTCGATAAGAGATTCAACATAGAGTACTGCATCACGCCCAATTTTAGTCACCTGTTTGCAGAGATAAAATGAAGTCAACCTCTTCTCATTTCAGTTCTTTTTATTGTTCATTTTCCTTACATTGCCAATTATCCTAACTTCTTGCGTGCTTCTCGAAAATGTAATTGTTCAGAAACATGCACCTAAATTTTATCGATATGTAGAACCACAATTTCTTTCAGCCTAGATGCATCCTAAACAACTATTGGCAATCCTGCCAAGTGTTGCTTGTGTTACTCTTCGAGATATAATTGTGCAGAGAACAAAAAGCTCATGACAAGCTGCCTTATCAAATGGAGAATTTACAGAAAGGTGCAGTATATCCCTTTATACAATTACGCTCTTCATTCCACATGTTTTCTTGCTTTCTGAACTACTAATCCAACCCTGACCTAGCATGCCTATCGGAGGTTCTGTCAGATGGCACACTTCTAGATGTGAAAGTAGATCTAGGGAGGCCAAGATAAAATGAAAAGAGTTTGAACATACCTCTTCTGCAACAATTGGTGAAGCACATTCTGGAAAACTACTAGCTACACCAAGCCATGCACAACAGTGCTGAGGGCGACCTTCAGGACCAAACATGGTGTTTCGGAAGACCTACAACAAATGTCACTTGGCTTAACAGGCCAAGAGTTTCTATAAAACAGTTTCACTATTGCTAGGGTATGTGACATGAAAAGAAACTACCCAAAGCATCAGTAGTACCAAATTTAAAAAATTATGGGTGAAGAACCTAATGTTCACATGTTTATGAGAGGCAACCAACCACATAGCAGGATAGAAACAGTTCGTAGAGAGAGGTTCAATTTAGTTCAGAAAACAACTCACCGCAGTGAGGTGCTGGTGGTAGAAATAAAGCTTCTTCAGACTTCCATGCTTGGATAGTTGAGCCTCAAGTTCATCGACACACCTGCAAGAAAGAATCAATATCTCTGAATGCTTCAGGCAGCACATATAGGAACTAAATCCACTTAGTGCAATTCAACTGGATCTTGTAGTAGACAAATTAATCTGGCAGAACCAAAATGCTGAAGCACATCCCTCTTAACTTGGGGTAGTGAAATTAGGTCTCAACTAGATATCGTGGGAAACGCACCCAGATGAAGACACAATACAGCTATCGTGTTACATTATCAAAACTTGTGCAATCTTCTGTTGAGGTTGAGGGTTGGGTCAACTTCCCGGTAGAGAAATTTTATTAGACATTCGAGGATTCTTTATTCGAGTCTGTTTAAATGGGTTCTACTTACGGAAATAAGAGAGGATTTCAGCAAGTGGTTTATTTGCAGCTGGGTTATTATGGCTCCCTAGTTGGTACCAGATCGGTTTTCAGAAAGCATCCTAGTTCAAGTGTAGGTGTAGAGAGGGAAAACTTAAACCGAAAGAAAAATGAGCAAATGTTGCCGTTAAGTTTTTCCTCCTTTCTGGTTATTCCGTTCTTCTCACCGACCCCCCCCCCCCCCCCCCCCCCCCCACATGAAGGATTTATACAATTTACCAAGTGCCAATACAAATATTGGTATCATTTTCAACAAGTTGGTAAATGGTCTGCAGGTAATTGTAGCATATGAAATGTTAAATGAAAGTCAGCAAATACCTGGACCAGTTATAGGCAGAATTTCCTTCTGACAGTAATCCTTCCTTCCCAGTGGAGACAGTTGCTTTCTCCAAGTGTCTTATGTTTATTGATGCTCTAGCCGATGTAACAATCATCAGTATTGACAGCCAATCCTTGCGAAACTCCTGCACAAGAAAGAAAGTTATGCAGTCAACAAAGATGTCGTGCAATCTAATTAAGGAACCATATGTATAACATAGACTTCTTACTGATAGATCGCATGTGATGGCAGATATATTTTCACCCTGCGACTTGGGTATGTTTTCAAGATGATGAAAAATCCGCTGAAATAGTCCTTTCAGACTGGGATCAAGATCTAGAGCCACCATTCCTGGAGTTCCCAACAGAAATCTGATGCGACCAGCACAAGACGAAAGATACGACAATGCATAGCCTCGAATAGCTGCATTAGATGTGAGAATTAACAACGATCCTATTCAATAAAGATAACAATTGCAAGTAATGACAGGAAAAATTAGCTGCTTGGAACTTGTAATCAAGATTCTGAGCCTAGGTCATGACATTGCTACAGCTGAGAACTTGTTCACCACTCGGACCCGGATTGTCTAGTTCTCATTTCATGCGTGACCAAAAGTCTCCAGAGCAGTAACCTTCCAGGAAATGAAGGAGAAAAAACTAGGAGAGAGAGGGTGAAGAACATATCTAGGTCCAGCCAGTAGTTGACATTGTAGAAGAACAAAATTAGACTCAAAGCGCAAAAGTGTACAGAACTTGAATTTCAGGATCATACATGAAAGAACTCAGCTCATCAATGTGACACATATTTTCATGTGACAAGGATAGGTGTCAAAAAGAAAGGGATAGCCACTAGGAAGAATTTGTGGGAGGGGGGGGGGGGGGGGGGGTGATCTTAAACATGTGATCAAACCTGCAATGTACTTGCGTACTAGACAGCACAGGTGATCCATTCCATCTAGCAAGTAGCCGATAGTTGGATCACTTGGATCCTGCATACAACAGGAACACAAATTTTAAGCTGTCAGCAGCACATTGGATACTGTTGAATTTGTGAGGCCATATAATTGGGAATTACCAAGTCAACTGCCACTATTCGTGCAGCTTTAGATTTTGATGATGCAATTCCTACATGCTGAAAGTACCAGATCACCTCAGATTGAGCCAATGCCAGGGCAGAAAATACCATCTGTGGAAAAAGGAGTCGCTAGGTGATGAAATTCCATTCAAATTACCTAAATAACTTGTATGAGATACTAGAGATCAAATTCTTCACTTGGAAAAACAAATGAGTATTAGTCCAAATATATCTGAAATATTTAACCAGAGATGAGGACTGAAAGGAGCCTTAACATTTGGCAAAATAGAAAAAAGGACAGGATAGGCTTAAATCAGCTTCAGATATAAATCCACTTTTAAGACACCAACCTGTACATAAATTTCTAGTCAACAGTCCAACACTCGGGACAAAGGTTAATTAGATTACGTTCAGGTATGGCTTTGGTTGGTGTAAGCTTTGAGAATGCATAATGTTCTTGGAGACAATAGATCAGATATCATAAGCCAATCCCACCTGGATGTTGGGGGCCAATAAGCTTGGCTGATCAGTGAAAAACATAACCATTCTTCCAATTTCCTGCTTTAGCAAAATTCTCCTTTCGCGATGGATGACATCACATGATACCAATGCCTGATCATGGACTTCACTGCATTTATTCAATCATCAAATGACATTTTCTGCTTTATTAATAAAATATAGAATTGTAAGAAAAGGAAAGGGATGAATCACTTTAGGAAACTGTTCTCCTGTTGGTGGTTGTGTCCAATTATCTATATACCTTATCATCTTCTCAACCTGTTTAGCCACACTGTACTCTAAATCTGCTTCCTTTTGTTTGGCCCGTCCAGATTTTGCCATCTTCTTGGATTCTAATACTCGTGGCAGAACATATAATTGATAATCTTCATGCAGTAACACATACTGCATATTTGAAATTCAATAACAAATATGCTTCAGCTACTGGAAGAGAAGCATAACTCATTAATCACAAGACTGAGCATCACCTCATCTCGGAATACTGTAAGAATCAAATTTTCCTTCAGAACAACCTGGAGATCATTTTTGAAAAATCAAAATGAGAAACAGTAAAGCAAAAATTTTATTAACTAACGTCTAAGCGCTAGCTTTTTAACTGAATCAATCTCCCTTTGGTGTGCCCATCAAATGAGAATCAGGGGCCATCTATCAATTAGTTCATTATCACCTGTGCTATGTCAATGCTTGTCACGCGAAGAAGCTCATCAGGACAGACAAGGTAACCAAGAAGCACCCACTCCCTGTAAGAAGTAACATTTGCTAAATCTTGGGCTCTCTGAAATGTGGAAAAAGTCTCGAGATTAACGTCCAGTAAGCAAAAACACAACCAAAATCATTGATTGTTCTAAAAATAGTCCTTACCATAGGATGGGCAGAATTTGTTAGGATATCAGGATACCGAGGATGATATGGACTTAGAAACCCCTCGTTTCTGAGCTTTTTTGTGTCGGTAGATAGAAAAATTATAGGACCAACAGCCTCTAAAACCTGGAAATAGAAATTGAAGCTTTAAAAAAGGCTATGGTCTGTTTGTAGAACTTGACAGCTAAGAAAACAACACTATACCAATCACAGTTATCATTTTGAATAGGGGGGTTCAAATGGTTACCATGGTTATTACCAAACCGAATAAGGCTAAATTTCATTAACCATGGAATACAATATCATAATCAAACCGTCCAAACTAATACAAGAACCAAATTAACCAAACTAAAGTTTAATCGGTTTGGTTAATTGGTTAACCAGATTAACCAATATAAAATCACATTATCATTAAGTGAGAAAATTTTCGGTTAATTTATCAATTTACAATTTATATAATGAATAAAATATAACATTCAACACTTGCTTATAGTCAGTGGCGGAGGCAGGATTTCAAACTACCCCTGTCCTTTTTCAGAATATATATAATATTATATAAATATAATTAAAATTAATAATATCTGAATAATTCATTCACAGAGAAACAAAAAACTGATTAATACAATTATTGTTTCATAAATAACCAGGACGAGTTTTCATATTATGAAAGAAATGTAAAATACATTTATTGTTTACACCATAATATCGTGATAATACCTAACAAGCTATTGTGAAATGATAGTGTCATGAATGAAACCAATAATTTAATTATTTTTTTGTGAATTAATGAGCAAGTAATGAGTTATGTTGTAATGTTAAAATATCCTTATGTTACTTGTAAGTGTTTAATTCGATCTGTATAAATACATGTGGGGTTATTTTTTCCCCTCCTCAAAAGTTACCCCTGTCCCATGACAGGGGCAAACACCCCTGCCTCCGCCTATGGTTATAGTTGACCTTTAACATAAATACATGCAACTAAGACAATTATCTTACGGTTAGTATAGAAGTATTCACCTAGCAAAAATTTATCACAATTTTATGGGTTAATGAATTGTTGTGTTTGTTTGAATTGACTTAGTCTTTTAGCAATTTTCATAGGCTAAAAAGGACATTGCTTTGAAGTTTTCACCCAACATAATGTATGAGATTTATCTAAATTAAGCATTCATATGTTGTGGTCTACACTCTACATATACAAATATACATTATAGGAACAATATCAAGCTTTATATTTTATGAGTTTAAAAAGGATGAACGTTTAACTCTTGAGTGGTTATTCAAAGTATTAAGTATGTGCATATATTAGATATATGACTAATTATTTATCTGGTTAATTTGGTTTGACTGGTTAGGAGTGTCTGAAACCAAACCAAAACACCTAAACCAAACAAGCTAAAAACTTTAACCAAACCAAACCAATTATCCAAATTAACCAAACCAAATTATCCAAATAGTACTGGTTAAAACGATTACCATGGTAACTACACCGTTTGAACACCCCTAATTTTGAAGAGAAGCTTTTCTAACTGTTTAACAATTATAAGAATTATGATAATGCACTGAGGAGGATAACAAGGGAGCCAACTGACCTCTCCGATGCGTGGGCTTACGAAATTTAGATCTTCTTGCAGTCCTTTCAATGGTGGATCATACGAGTCAATGAATTGGACCAACCTGAGAGAGAGAGAGAACAGACCAATTGAAACATAAAGTGAGAGGATGTATCAACATAATGCTCCTTGAAAAAATATTACGCCATGGAAAGCGTTAGTCGCATTCAACCATCAATAATTAACTGTTTTAGGCCTGGAATTTCTGTTCAAACAGGACAGCACCTGTTTTTTATTCTAATTTCCACGAGAGAAACAGGGTGATCATGGATGGAATCAGCATTTTAAGAAAAACTAATACGACAGTCTCATTGGCTTTTCATCAGAGCCTTCACAAGACACTGGTCAACAAGATCTGCTTGTGGTAAAGTAAGTTTTGTCTAGTTGTAGTGCAAATGCAGAGATCACAGGAAAGGGCAGTAAAGTACAAGGTTTCTGACAGCAATGACTACCCACATTCAACATGCTGCAGTGATTTGTAAAGTTTAGCCTTCTTTTACATAATGATCTTGTAAAGTTCAGTTTCCACCCGAAAATTAAAGATCAAAAGAGCAATCACGTACCGATGATAAAAATCACAGTCTCTGTCATTTCTTGAAATAGCATGGAGAAGGTTATACACTTGCAACATCATTTTCCTTGGAATCTGTATGAAGTTCTTGATATATTAAGATCAAACACTCAAATAGGGATGCAAGAATAATCATTACAAGGACATGAGTATGAGTAACAGATACATCGAAAATAGTATACATAAGAAAGAAATGCAAACCAAACTTGCCTTCTCAGAGAAAAGATTGACGCGGACAAAGGAGCAGAAGAGATCCATGAACGCATGCAGTATAAGTGAATTCTGATGGGGCTGCAAAATACTGTGTCATGTTATCAGATATAACATAGACAAATGTTGTATCTTCTTTTTCCCTTTCCATTATAGAAGGCATCAAGGCAACAAAACCACATTGAACGGAAAATGGGAAAGGATGAATAGAGGTTTTTCCTATAATCCGAATTGCATTCAGCTGCATCTAACTTCTCGACATTTATGATTGTTAGGTTAAACACTCTGATAGTTTTGGGAAACTGGTGGAATATATTTGGATCATGTGGAGAAGAACAAACTCACCAACAAGGTGATAACTGTACTACTCAAATCCAAAATGAGTCGGAGTGCTTGTTCCCGAAATGCCATCAGGTCAAGAAGCATCTTCATACAAATAAAAAGGAAGCCCGGTCACATGAGTTAGTAACTTCCAATTAAAACAGATGATACCAAGCAGTCTTAAAATCGGACCAGGAAACAGTTCTTGCATGGAAGTAATGGCAATACGAAGTAATATTCTCCTGATGTATGATGTATGGGGCCTCAATACAAATATACATCATAAATGGCATGGCAGAACCAAAAAAAAACTATAAAGTGATAAAGACAACAAACAAACAAAACTGACTGAATACTGATTTAAATTAGCAGACATCATAAACCAGCTTCAGTCGTTTCCTAACTGACAGTAAACAGCTCTATCAACGACCGTGCCGGATTGAACTGAAAGGAAAGCTCTAACTTGAACAAATATTTTCATTTTCCAATTCAATACGACCCGTTCGTTCAGAGAGCTATTTATTCCAACGCAAACACTTCTGGAACAACTCTAATAGAGGGGACAATAGCAGTTCTGAATGAAGTATGCCAAAAAAATTACACTGTAGTTCATTAAGATGACAGCAAGATCACTCCCGTGCTCATAAATACTGAAATTTGTGCCTAGCCAACAATAACCAGCTAAAAGCCCACGCACTCAGTTTTTTACTTTTGAAGTTTACCATAACATATCTGTTCTATGTCCTAAAGAGCTCCCAGACAAATTCACTTAAGCAAGTTCCAGCAACAGTAACGGCATGTTGAGTGCTGAAATATGAAGCAACTACAGAGCTATAATTTGTATACTATCACTATTTTTCATGTTGAAGGTTACCATGGCTACAAGCCCAGAATAAAATGTAGTCAAATTTTGCTCCAACATTAATCATCATGCAAATCTAACTTGCAGACCACAGATGTTAGGTCAAAGCATATAAACCAACACTGGAGTGCCCCTAACACCTTATCTCATAAACTAAACAAGATAGAAGCTGTACCTGAATCCATGGGTCCAAGCTCTGTAAATGAACTTCTGCACTATCATTTAAAGAATCCAGTGCAGTCTTGTCAACCTGTATCACTCAGATAACTTATATTCCCGGGTCCCTCTTGAAGGACGATTAAAATGCCGAAAAATTAAAGTGGGGAAAAATCCACTTCATATTGTACGCAGTGCCATTATACTTACCCTTTCAAGTTGCAGTTTGGTAAAATGATCGGGGAACTTTTTCGATAGCAATGTGCAAATCCTGGGGTGGTTTGGGAAAATGCCTGCCTTCCAGAAACCTTCTGAAAACAAATGATTTATCGGATCTGGATAGTCCAATATTTGATTTAGCCTATACATTTTGGACATCAGGCCTTCAGCAACTTCAGTCAGTTGGACAACCCACTGCAAGTTCAAACCCTTTTGTGAAGCCCCCGAACCCTGAAGGTGTCCATCAGAACCCTTAAACCTAGAGGACCTGGAGGCCATTTGAGATGTCATATCAGGACCCAAGTACTCTGTCCATCTTGCAGGACCTTCCCATTCCTTGGATCTATCAGCAGTGGGTGACAGCGATGAATCACGGGAAGAGAGATGTTGGTGTGACTTCGCCATTTGCCCAGCTGCAAACAACTCAGAAAACGAGATTGAGTCTCTTAGCTACCAAGTTTCCATAAAGTACACTCCATGGAATTGAGAAATGCAGTCATTCACCCAAAGCCAACTGTAGCATACTACAATGGTGAAGATTGTGCACTCAACCAATTCTGTCTCTACTTGACTGGAACTAAGACAGAAAACCCAACAATTCCCCACTGAAGAAAGGGAATTCGGAAAGTCAAGAAACAACTAAGGTAAGAACAAGGGAGAAAAGAGAATGAACTGCCATACAATCACAAGTCGGGTTCGCCATCAACAATGTAGCTAGCAGCCTAGCATAACCAATTCAAAATTCAAGGATAAACCACGCTTCGCCTTCCCCCAGGGTTTCTCAGAAAACAGAAGAACAAAGGACAAACAAATTCAAGAACACTGCATTAATAAATAAAAAATGGGAACCAAAAAGCATTGGAGATAAACGAGCAATGGAGAGCTTCTCCGGAAACTAGAGGATTCCAGACATAAAAAGAAACTAATCACGCCACAACGAAATCTAGCAGAGAAAATGAAGAGAAGAGAGAGGGAAGTACGAGTCAGCAAGTGAAGACTTCAACTCTTCGACGCAGCAACAGCAGCAGCTCTGCTTGGCGGCTTTGAGAAGCTTAGATCTGCGCCATTTGCCGTCGTCGTCGATCGTGGCAGAACGTTTATGGGACGGAAGGAAGGAGATGGAGATGGAGATGGAGATGGAGATGGGGATGGGGGTAGTTGGTAATTAAAAGCAGCGGTGAAGTTCAACCAAAGAAGAAAGTAGCAAGTCAGCTCCACTTCCCTGTTCGAGAAGCGGACGGGCGTGCCATTCATTTCCGGAAAAAATTTTAGCTCCAACCTTTTTTTTTTCTTCTTTTTTCCTCTATAGCAGGAGGATTATTGGCCTGTTTGTTTCAATTATTTTCTCAAATTTTGATAACTTTTGAGCTTTGACAATAGAGTCGATGAAATGCATGAATTTTTCACGATGGAAAAGTAAATAAATGGTAGACAATGTGTGTGGATAAAAAAAATTGATAATTGATGGAAAAATAACTTCATATTATAATTTTTTCTTTACGAGAGTTGACCTCTCAAACTCATAATTATGTTCAGTTAAACCTAAGATGGAACCGAAGATCAAGAAACGTTGAGGTACATTATCTAAGAGGTGTTTTTAGTGATTTGTTGAACTCGTAATGAAATTCGGTGAATTGTGGAGGTTGCTATATTTTCATAATCTTCAAGGTGTTGAGCGACAATGAAAGCAAGTAACGCCACACGTTGAGTGCAATGAAAGCACACGATGTTGGGCTTCATACTCTCATCGAGTATTTCATAAGTGCATTAATGAGACTCGTAGAAAAAAAAAAATCAAAGATAAAAGGAGTCATGAGCTTACGAGAAATAAATAATTAATTAATTAAGGAAAATATATTGTAAAAACTCTTATTCTCTTCTACTATCTTCTTTTAATCCTTTCGACTTAAGCATCGGGTTGCCTTCAAGGGTCAATCTCCTTCGACTAAGCTTCTTGCATGAGTCGCGAGCACTAAGTTGTCGACTTTAGTTTGTGAGACAACCTAGTAAGAGGTCATAGCATACCTACGTTAAGTTCTTTTGTCCAAAAACCAGGCTTCAATTCCTTGTGACCAGTAGTCAGAGTTTTGTCTACTTTTTTCTATTTCAAATTTCGTGCAACGAGAGTGAAAGTAGAAATGACATTTTTGTCTTTACAATTTATTTATTCCATGTAAAAAATGCCAATATAAGGATTTGAACACTGTTCTCTTTAAACAAAGTCAACAATCACAATAAATTACACTAAACAAATTTGTTGTATCTTTTTTAATACAAAACATACACGAAGTGACACTCTGAAAATCAGAGGACTTTTTCATCATTATTAGCAAGTCCACTAAGTCTACTGAATGTATTTTATGGTGTTTGATACTGCAATTTTCATAACAGAGTTTCATTTAGTTTCTCAATTCTAAAATCACTGCTCTTTCCATAATTTTCGCTAAAGGTAAATTGGTAATTGGCTAACATGGAAGAAACTAATTCTATCACTGCTCTCTCCTTAATTTTTGCTAAAAGTAAATTGGTAATTGGCTAACATGGAAGAAACTAATTCTATCATTGCGCTCTCCTTCATTTTCGCTGAAGGTAAATTGGTAATTGGCTAACATGGAAGAAACTAATTCTATTAATACGTGTTGTATCCTTGCATTTTTCAATTTATATTTAAATTTAGTACTTTTGTATCTTTGTTCTTATCTCTTTCTAACCTTCGAAATTCCTTACATCATGCAATAGTGTGCATCCCTTTCACTTTACAGTACAAGGTCGTGATGACTCAAGATTACACATGTTTTTGTCCAGCATTCTTATATTGTTTGAGGCTCGGATCTCGGGTTTTAAGCCGATTTTACGCTATGTTGTTCTTGTTTATGACATTTCGGGTCCTAATGCGTGAATTAAGGCTTGAGCACGAGTTCGGGGTCGATTGGGCGAAGACGGGACGAGCGATGAAGCGCAGATGAGTTGCACGGCCAGTCCGAGAAGACGCACGACTGTGCATGGTGGTCGTGCAAGCAAAGATGCGCGGCCAGGTTTCGCACGACCGTGCATGACTGATTTTCTGTCCGTGATGAACTCTGTGAGAAGCTGCACGACCAGGCTCTCGGATTGCACGGGTCGTGCGATGGTCGTGCACTCCCCTAGCGGAACTAATCCAAACGTTGTGTTTTGGGTTGCACAGGCATACAAGGAAATTGCACGGCCGTGCGGCCTGACCGTGCAATCGCGGACAGTTGCATCTTAACCCAATTTCGGGTTTTGGAAAAGGGGATTGAGCTTTGGAGAAAGAAATAGAGTTTTAGAGAGAGAAAGTGACGAACCCAACCTCCAAGGTGCCCTAGATCGAGCTTTGACGCCATTGGAGCTCGATTGAAGTCTAGAGAAGTGTCGATTGACAACCAGATGCTGATCTTCATCCTCCACACGATGATTTCTGCATCTGAAGTTGATTTCTCTTCTCTCTCAATGTTGTAACCCTCTCTCTCACCTGGGTATGAAGAACCCTAGAGTTGTTCGTTAGGATTGATTGTATGAATCCAAGCACATGACGTTTTGATATTGATTATTTTCAGTTGAGGCATGATTTCTGAATTGCTTGAATCTTGATCAAATTCCTGTGATTTCTGCTTTAACCTAGAAAGAGAATATCTGCATAGGTTGATAGAGCACCCTTGATTGAAGGTAGTGAATTGATTGCTTTAGTCGAGAAGTCAATTCACTTCTATGTACTAGATTTTTTCTAGTAGAGGAGGTTTTGTGCGTTAGGGCCTCAGTTTGTTTACTCCGGTGGAGGTTAGTCGCCCGTCGGGTATCCAGATTGGGAGGGTCTGAAGACCTTTAGTCGAGACTTCAGACTGACTAAGAACCTTCCGCAGCATAACTATCATTACACTTGGACTTGGTGGATTGCAATTGAACTTCACTACGCTCTAGGGGGAACCATATCTGGGTGACCTTCCTCTCAACTTGAATCACAACTTTCACTGCTTTGTGTCTGCTTAGACTAGTCCAAACTGCACTACATTCATAATGCTGATAACAAAAAAATTCACGGAGTAGTCATCACATCTAGGACCTGGGTTGATAGGTAAAGCTAAACCCTTTATACTACTCATTAGACGGTGGTTACACTTGGCCATTTTCTAGTGTGACAGTTTTAGCGTGTCAGGCCACCTTTGAAAATCAATCTTCTGGTATCTCTTAGCACTATGATTTTATTCTTCGGGATTTAAACTGGATGCAGAAGAAGGATTAGAATGGAGTTCAATAAATGGAGGTGTAGAAGAAGGATTAGAAATTGAATTTTTGGTTCAAACATACGTCTCTTGAGATTGAAGATAGAGTGAACCAAAAGTTCATTATACAACGAAGAGTGGTGGCTATTGGATCTTTAGGTTTATGGTTTTTGCAGCTATTGCAACCTAATTCTTGTCAAGAACCCGTTGATCCCAATAATTTGATTTTTTGGGAAAGGTTCAATCGTAGATCGAATACCGTTTACTAACACACCCGCTCAAACGAAAGCCATCATATGTGGGTTTGAAGTTTGCATAGGTCCGGACACCATGTGTGTTGAACAGAAACAAATAGGGGTCATCGAGATTCGAACAGAAGACCTCTCAGTCACAGAAGACTCTGATTCCATGTCAAGAACCCGTTGATCCCAATAACTCGAGTTTTTGGGAAAGGTTCAATCGTAGATCAAATACCGTTTACTAACAATTCTATCATAAAACGTGGAATCATCGATTGATTTACTAAAGTAGGTTGGTCGATTCTTTATTCAACCTACTGGAACTGATAGAGAAGGAGTGTTTAATTTTGTTCCTTATTACTTTGATCGAGCTATCAAGTTTTGATGGTCCCCTCTTAGTTGAGTTGTTAGTATAAAGTTGACTTGAATCAACAACTCTCCATTTCTTTTTAAATTGTGGCATATTGTTCCTAACAGAAAAGCATTGAAACCTTTATGTAGGATTGCGAGGTTTAAGATTTAGTTTCAAACTATCTATGGTTCGTTAGGCAATTTCAACGAGCTTTTATACTTTATCTTTCTTGACAATCAACAAACTAATAGCATTTTACCGTGGACTTAATTATCATTATGAAAATGGGATCAATGATACATTTTTGTATTTTATATTCTTAAATGATGATGATATTTCTACTAACTACACATTGAACCTTTGTATCCAAAAACTCTTTACTACTTTGTGTTCTCTGCTTAACAACAAATCACAAATCTCATCAATTTTATTGACGATGTCGCTATTCATTCTTTTAATTATTAAGAGATAGTGGTGCTTTGCACTTGTTGGGGGAATTAAGAAGATAGGCCCAAGGACAGGCCCAAGGCGGCCCAATGAGGAAGAAGAGCATGCTTCGTGGGCTCAGTCCGCGGGTTGGTTCGCGGGGCCAGACCCAGGGGTAAATATGGGAAACTAGGAGACAAGGTTCGGAAGGGTCCAAGAGAATACGGTATGTGCGCCTTGTACCTGTTAGAGGCCTGACAGGTTGGTCGGGGCGCCCAGCCTGACAGAGGTACGGAGTATTAAATACGATGCTGACGTGGAACTGGGTTGATGAAGCCTGATTCAGGGTTGGGGTGAGTATAAATAGTGTCGGTAGGTGGCATTTACACCAGGTTGGATTCTCTCACTTAACACTTGAGCTTGCCACTTCTCTCTCTAAAAACCAAACTGACTTTATCGTCGGAAGACTAACGGGCCCAAGCGCCCTCCTCCGTGTGCGTGTGTGCAAGTCAAGTGCCTTGGACACGTAGAGCGGGGATAAAGCTGGTGAGGAGTTGGGCTCTAACCGGACACAAACAACACCCATTCATAAAAATAAAATAAAAAATCAAATCAAGACTTCCGGTCCACGATCTTCAACAAACTCAAATATTTTAGTATGAAAATTCAGTTACTCCGATACATTTCTGATACGGAGTTAGCCAGGCAGATGAGGACTCGTGGTCGTGCAACCACGATTCTTCCCTGTAATGCCGGCTAAATTTGACTCGCCGACCACCGGCTGAAAAGAATTGATTTGATTGCTGCGGTCTCCGATTTCTTATCGACTCTACTAGTTCCGGTACAAAATGCAACCACTTTAGCGAGTGAATTAGGAGTAAAGTTAAAGTTTAAATTTATAATAATGAAGTTGCAGTAATTGAATTAAAAAATAATTAACCGGAAAACCACATAAAAAAGTGTCTCAAATGGTATGGAATTGGTGTAATGCGCAACCAATAACAACCTCCAGCTTTAACAAAGTAAGAAATCCCAACGTTGCTGGGCGTATAATGGAAGGATTGTGGGCTGCTGTTAATGAATTGAGGACATACTTCACTTAGACATTAAGCCAACATGATTTGAACTCCTTTCCTGTTCCAAGTTTTCCAAAGGTACAGTACCACCATTTCAGACATCCTAATACCACAGCTGGTGAGTGAAATCGGTCACCTACTCACCTGGCACTACCAATAGGGAAACAAAATCACCAATGTCGAGATGCAGCTGCTTTGAAAAGTTGTTGTTCGTCAAGCAATGCCTTGAGTGCTACGTGTCTCTCCATGCTGTTTGAAATGCTCCAAAGCTCAAACATTTAACATGCAGCCCCAAAAGTTAGCAGCAGAAGAATGAATGCCGGTTGTTTGGCCGGTGTAAAATGGGTGTCTTCTTCCCCTTACTCAGATGCTCATTTGAAATCCATTATCACAAGGAAACTGCATATCTTACAATTCCAAGTAGAACCCGAACCAAAACACCGAGCTCTTCTGGCATATCCAAGTCTTGAACTGCCTTTGTTCATTTCCCCGCAAGTCATGGTGTAATTCCGGGAACTTGAGGAACAGCTGGCTTGGGCGTCCTTACTTTCTCAACCATTGCAGCTTCAGTTGTAAGAACTATTCCAGCAATTGAGGCAGCACTTTGGAGAGCACACCTTGAAACTTTACATGGGTCTGCTACCCCAGCATCTAGAAGATCTTCATATGTATCCGTCATTGCATTGTATCCAGTTCGCCAGTCACAAGCTTGAATCTTTTCCACCACAACTTCACCATCTACTCCTGCGTTAGTTGCAATTGTTTTTGCAGGAGCAAGAAGTGCCTAAAATAGGTTCACGGCAATCATTAAGTTGTGAAGGATTTACAACTCTGTCGAAATCTAAGACAGATAAGTGGTTGAACAGGAAATTTTATTTTACTGAGAACAAACCTTTGCCACAATATCAGCACCAATCTGCTCATTCTCATCTGTCATGGCACTTTTTATGGTCGGTACGTGCTTGGCAAGATGGACGTATGCTGCACCACCACCAGGCACTATTCCTTCATCCATGGCAGCAAATGTTGCATTCTTAGCATCTTCAATTCTGAGCTTCCTCTCTTCCAGTTCTGTTTCCGTGTGTGCACCAACCTACATTATTAGCACGCACACACACTGAGCACTGAAAGGATAAACAATGGAACATTTCAAAGTGCATAATGACAGAGTAACGAAATTCTTCACATGTTCTAGTTTTAAATGATGTGTTGTGGGCTAACGCCATTTTTTTACTAACCTTAATCACAGCAACACCTCCAGATAGTTTCGCTATTCTTTCAGATAGCTTTCTTGACAAAGATGCTTTGTCTGTTTCCGCAAGATCCTTCTTTAGCTGCAGAATTCTCGCTTGAATTTCGGGTTTCATCAGAGGATCCGCTACTATGGTAGTTGAGTTACTGGTTATGGTGATTTTCCGCGCGATGCCAAGTTGATCTGAGGTTACACCCATTATTGAAAGACCGAAATCTCCAGAAAGAAAATCAGCGCCTGAAACCATAACCTATAATGTCAGTCACGAAACACTTATTATACGTGTAAAAGTAAGACTGCACAATTTTACAAGCCAAGACACAGAGGCAAATACAAAAGCATTACAGCACAAGTGGGGTTTCATAAACAAGGGCTTTCAATAGTTAGAGCTGTTCAACTTACGCATCAACACCAACCTGTCATTAGGGCAATGTCTTGCAGAATAGCTTTCTTTCCTTCTAAAAAACCAGGACATTGCACAACTGCAACATTTAGTAAACCTTGCATCTTGTTGACCACTAGTGTTTCCAACACTTGCTTCGAGATGTCCTCAGCAAAAATTAGCAATGGAACACTTAGTTGGGTAGTCTTTTCTAAGACCGGAAGTATTTCTTGGACAAAAGCAATTCTCTGGTCTGTTACTAGAACTTTCGCATTGTCAAATTCTACCAAAGATTTCTCCTGATTTGTGATGAAATGAGGTGACATATAACCCTTGTCAACCTGCATTAGTAAGCATACATGATCATAAATCAAAATTTCCGAGAAATATTAGAAAAACCAGCATTACTACCTTCAGCCCTTCATCTATTGTCACAATAGTTTCTGAGGTTTGAGATGTTTCTAGGGAGATTACTCCGTCGGGGCCAATTTTCTCAATAGTGTCAGCAATTAAGTTGCCAACGAATTCATCGTTTCCAGCAGAAATTGAGGCAATGGCTGCAGAAGGACCCAGACAATTGTTACACCCATTTCATTTCCGTTTCCAAGTACAAATGCAATCGTCTGCCGAAAATTGAAGCATATAAAAATACTGACCTTTTATGTCTTCCCTTCCATTAACAGGATAGCTGTTCTTCTTCAAGACTTCGATCAACTCTTTAACTGTGGCATCAATTCCTCTCTTCAAAGAAATTGGACTGGCCCCAAAAGCAACGGCTAACATACCATATTTGATCATGGAACGAGCCAAAATGATTGCAGTTGTTGTGCCATCACCAGCCAAAGCATTCACTTTAACAGCAACCTGCAAGGGAAGGCACTTCGACTTTCAAATGTACACAAGGCTTAGGATCAACTGTAACTAAATAAGTGAATTTGAGCTGTGCAGAGTATAGTGTAGCAACCATGGATGACCTCTTGGATTAGAGTCGCTCCCACATTCTCCATTGTATCAGAAAGCTCTATTGCCCCAGCTATCGTAACCCCATCATTCACCACCTTCAGTGACTTAGAATCAGAAAGAACAACATTTCTCCCTGCATGAGGGATTCAAATTCAACTACTAAGTTCAAGACTTCACTTTTCGTTTCCAACAACACATATATCTGATGAAAAGCATCAAATTTGACCCAGTAAAGAAGAAGAAAAAAGGGAAATTCAGAACAAGAAAACATAAGGAGAATTGAATTAAAGAACCTCTGGGCCCTAGAGTCACAGAGACAGCATCGGCGAGCTTATTGATTCCAGCTTGCAAGGCCTCCCTGCAGTCTTTCCCGTAAGATATCTTCTTCCCGGTAGCTCTAACTGTCAGTTTCATCCTCGCCAAATTAGGATTTCTCCACGGTATATAGGGAGAAGTAGAGCGACCATAGAGATTCTGCATCTGCAGCGACAATCAATTCGAGACGGCAACGGAGAAACAAGTAAGAAATGGACAACCGAGGAAAACTAGAGTAAGAAGGAAAAACAACATAGCAGCTTACGGAGAAGAGTGGGTTTGGATAGAAGACGGAGGAGGCAGAAGGCGACATTTTTTTGCCGTCGCCTAATGCGGGTAAAGCGGTGTTGGTCGTCGGAGCTGAGAATTAAGAGAGGTTTAACGAACACGATTGCATATCTCTCTCCTCCTGGTTCGAATCCCTGGTGAAGAGTTGGCCGGCCCTCGGCCGTAGAGACGGTCTAACAAGCTTTTTGGATCCAGTCTTGAGTTGGGCTCTGGATATGGAGCCCGTATAAAATGGTAGGGCTGGCTATTTGGTCCCGGACTGTTTGGTTTTACTCGAAACCGGACCGTATAATTCAGACCGAGATCGAATTGGGACCGGATAGCAAACAATTCAATCTCATATTGGGCTTAGATTTGAGGTAAAAAAACCCGGATAAAGACCGGATAAGAGACCCCCAATACCTAAAATCAAGATCAAATTGGGACCGGACCGAGTCAAGACCGGACTGAATCAAGACCGGACTGTATCCAATCCAATCTTTGGTCCTTATATTCCCGAAAAGACCAGACTGGGACCGGATCAATTTGGTCCAATTTAACCGGACCGTATAGCCACCCCTATAAAATGGGCTTCGATTACCGTTTAAGGTTGTGAAATCGGATTAAAGTCATTAAGTCAGTTTAATAATCTACACAATAAATAAAAGCCAAATGAAAAAACTTGAAGCTCCATTTCAAATTTCCTGCATTGAGAGTGAAAGTAGGAAGGACATTTTGGTCTTCACAATTACTTTTTTTTATTCATTAAAAAGACACTTATTAGGATTCGAACCATGACCATTTTAAAAAAAAAGCAAAGATCATAACTAATCACACTAAGTACATTTGTTGTATCTTTTTAAATAAAAAACATATAATCGCATAGAGGAAAAAACTTTTCGCCCATTTCAAATTCCCTGCTCCAGGAGCGTTTGTAGGAAGGGTAAAATAGAGAGTGTCAATTTTTTTTCTTTTTCCTCTGTGGAACGGGCCAACTTACCGTACACATGCGGATTTAAACGGGTCTAGGAGTGTCAATTTTTTTCTTTAAGTCCTTTTATTTCTCCGTGGTGGTAAAATATATATGAAAAGGCAAAAACAATACTAATTTTTATTGCTAAAAAGAAAAAAATTTAACAATAAACTAATGCATGGATTCTAATGGGCTAATCGCTAATCATAAAATAAAAGAGTTGAATGGGCCTGACCCAGGGGCGGAGCTACACTAGGTCTCGGGGCCCCCCCGAGAATTTTGAAAGATACGTATAAAAATATCGGTATTTGGAAATTTTATACAAAATAAATTGAATGTATATAAATATTAGTGTGCAAAATGGAAACAAAAAACAAGACAGTCTAGCGGATGCAAACTTGATTGTACATCCCTTAGGTCAAGGGTTTGAAACCTATTGCATGCACATGCTATGATTTTAACTTTCCAGTTTTAATAACTTCTCATTCATTTTTCATCATGTAGTTCTTTTTATTTCTATTAAATTCAATATGGTTTCGGTCTTTGTCTCATAAGTTATCAATTTGAATATTTTGTTTTCTTAAATTCTACACTATAAAATCATATCAATTAAGTTCTTCAAATTAAAATTTTAAAGAATACTCTTCGGATAAATAATGAATGAAGAATTTTTTTAGAAGATACTAGACAAAATGATGATTTTCAAATATGAAAAATAGAACGTGTTACAAAATATTGAAATTCACTATTAAATTAAAATTTTAAAGAATACTCTTCGGATAAATAATGAATGAAGAATTTTTTTAGAAAATACTAGACAAGATGATTTTCAAATATGAAAAATAGAATGTGTTACAAAATATTGAAATGCACTATTAATTTATTTACTTTCTTTCATTTATATTGTACTGTGATACAAAATTTTAGTTCATTATGATCATCTAGAATTGATGTTATTATAATAAACCTCCCTTATGAAAGCTGAATCATGTCTTTGTCCCCCGACTAAAAGATGAAAATACATTTTCTACACTTGCCATCAGAACGGGTCAAATCAATACTAATTTTAGAAGCATACAAACTAATGAATTCATAGAAAAAACTTACGGATATGACATATTTAATTTTGTCTACATAAAATAAACAACACTATAAATTTTATTTCGAGTAACTCTAATAATCTAAAAATGCAATAATAATAATAATATTAAAATAAATTTTCTTAATTTTTATCGTTTTTTGAAGTAACATAATAAAATATTCCGGCCCCCCCGAACGCCGAATCCTAGCTCCGCCCCTGGCCTGACCTACACGGAATTTGCGCATCAAGTAAAACAAATGAACATCATGGATTTGTCATTCTAAAACAAGCTATTTTCTCTAGCATAATATATATTATGCTATTATTTTATATCTTAGTGGCTAAAATATAATGTATTTTAAAGTTATTCAATGGTTCAACCTCGACCAACCCAATTAGTCCAATTTTTATCATTTCAAATATATATTATGTAATTATTTGATATCATAATGATTAAATTATAATGTATATTATAGGGAATCGTTTGGTATTTGTTAGTAAAAAACTAAACATAAAGATCTATTTGGTTATTTTTAACATTAAAACGATCCTAAACATTTTCAGTTTCCTTTCGAAATTCTTTAGTTTTATTCCCGAATCAGTGATGTGCAAATGGCGAATTGCAGTCATCTCTTTTCTTTCATTTTTTTTTTTTTGCAAATAAAAAGTTTAAAAGTAAAGAATAATTAGAGTTTGGCATGAGTCAGTCAAACATGCTGAATTTCAAGTTTTTGCCCTTTTTGATCAAGTCTAATTTATAATCACATGGTTCCCTGATACCCGATAAAAATCTCAATCCAAACTAGTTTGGCAGGTGAGTCCATGTTTACCACCATTTTCTAGGGATACAGGAACGGTGGTTCCTATCCCTAATCGTGTTGTTCATTCTTGATTTCTTTAGATTTTATCATGGCTTGGCAAAAAAACCAGAAAGCACAATGATGACAAGATGAAAGTTTTATAAAACAAATTAATCTGCCAACGGGTCGAGTAAAAGCTAGCAACGATTGTGAGATGCTCATTTCCCGAAAATCGTCGGGATAGGCGTTTTTTATTCGATTTTCTGGAATTCGGTTTCTATAAAACTTACTCCACCTCATCATATTACCAGAAACAATATTGTTTCACAAGGTAACAGGTACTTGATTTTGGTTCATAAGACTGATTTTTGATTCGTTGCACCATTCATGTCTCTTTCCTACTAAAATTCACTATTTTTATCACGTGTTTCCCAAAAAAAACTATACAACAATAAGCTATACACCCCATTACATTCTCAAAATTCATACATCATCTTCCTCTGGCCAAATGGCCGGGGCCCACGCTATTACATTTTAAAGAGTTTGATTTGCTCCATTTCAAATTTCCTACAACGAGAGTGAAATTAGGAAGGGTATTTTCGTCTACACAATCAATTTTTTCTTTCATATAAAAATATTTCAATGCTAGGATTTGAACAATGGTCTCTTCTATCTAAGACAAGAATTATAACCAATTAAACTATACACATTTGTTGTATTTAACTAATACAAAACATACAGGAAGTTAAAATCTGAAAAGCATAGTGCATTTGTATCATAGTTAGCTAGCTGCTTAGTCTCCTGCATGTATTTTGTGGTGTTTGATACTTATATTTTCATATTTTAATAAGTACTTTAGAATTTTTTCTAACTTATAAATGAAGGATAATTTTAAAATCTCAACACAAATATCATTGGTTGGAATATTGTACATTGAATTGGAGTGTTCAATGACGACATAAGAACACTGGCACCATACATTTCAATAAAAATAAACATGACAAACACGGAAACCCACTAGCTTGACTATTTATGCTAAAATTCGAGATTGTTTAACCATTCAATTTGAGTGATAGTTTAGTCAAATCAAGCAAATAATTCACGATTGTGTATGACCAAAAATAAAAACATGTGTATTGTATTATGAAAAAGAATGTATATTAACAATCTCACAAAAACAATAAGGACTTCCATATACGACCCCTTATTTTAGCATTGTAATTAACGAAACAATTTTTTATCAATATGATGCAATGTTCAAGCTAAGTTTCAATTATTAATCATCAGTATATAGTATTCAGCTTAGTAAACTATTTCAATATCCACAACTAACTATTAATGATTACTTGCTTTCTGTTTGATGATTTAATGTAACACTCTCATGCATACACTCTAAGCATTTGTTTTCTTTTTTCCAATATTTTTTGCAGTTATTTGTTAAATCAACTATGTTTCTAGCTTTCCATTCCTAATTATTCACTGTTCCTACCAACTTATGGGAATGATTAATATTTTTTTTCATGTATAATCTATTGACTATAAATGTTGCTTATCACTTAAATTCAATGGTATCCATGTTAGGTTTGATGTCTCCAACATATTCTCACAATTTCTCGAAAAAACATCATATCTTGCTATTGATATCATAGTTTTGTTAGGTAAAGTTCAACAAATTCAATCAATATTCGAACTCTTTGAAGTAGCTATCTACATGTGAATATGAAGTACTGAGAAGCTAAAACTCTACTTGAGTTAGTACGATCTTTAGCGCTATCAATTAAACTTCAATACATGATTATCTTATTACAATTTAGTCATACTAATTGTGCAGTAGTGGACATCTTATCAAAATCGTATCGAAAGACTCCTTGATTGATCAATTTCGGGATGTAATCAATTATACCAAATAGAAGTGATCAAATTTATAAGATGCTCTCAAAGTTTGCTATAATTACTGAGGTTCAGCAACACATTAATCGTAAGGTGGTCATTGGGCATTTGTCTTTCTCCTAGCTGGCCTAGACGTTATAATAAACATAGTAATTTTTAATAATGATGAATGAAGTAACAGTTCTGAAGCACTTTCTTACTTCAATTCAAATGATTTAACAACAAGCAAAATAACTCTCAAGTTTATAAATTTTTTTTACTAAATGGTATAATTAATTCATTTATGAACTGAAATAGCTAATTATAAGCACTTGAATTTTTAAGTTAAAACTCATATGATACAATTGTTTGACGAAATTATTTTTATCATAGAGTGGTTCTATCGAGAGAGGCCTCTAAGAAACATGACTTACTTTATTATTTTTTAGGTGGATATAATATAT